AAGCTTAAAGGGGGACTGAGAAAATGATAAACAGCATGATAAAACAATAAGAAAATGAGTCATAGAAATAAAAGGGACAAGAGATCAAAACATTGGATCACATTAAATGTAAGTAAATAAAGTTGGTGAAGGAAAACACAAAAAACAGCCGAATAAGTGAAACAAAGTCTAGAATTCTCTTCCTGAGAAAGTTAGATGGCAGAAGTATTTTTCTGGATTTTCTAATACTGAATTAGAAATTATGTGGTGAGAGAAGTAAATTCCAGTCAGAGCAGGTCTACCTCTCTCCCCAAAAGCTGATTCTGCTCACAGGTGAGCTCTGCTGTGTCTTATACCCTGGGCAGGGCCAGGAAAGGATGTGCATTTCTGTGTGTGTGTGTGTGTGTGTGTGTGTGTGTGTGTGTGTGTGTGTGTACATGTGCACGTGTGCATGGAGCTGCTGCCCCTGCACCTAGCTTTGCAGCCTGCTGGCCAGGTAAGTGCACACTTGGGGCAAAATCTCCATTTTGCATTTCAGGGCTGGAGCCAAGGTCCATCAGAGGTCACATATGTAAACGTGTCACACAGTAGAGGAAAAAAACTCACCACTGACTTGTAACTGAAAGGGGTAGTGGTGAAAATGAACCATCTACAATTTGTTCTTACTCTCACTCTATTCAGAACCAGCCCCCTCAGCCAGGCACATTCGATGGGTCCACTGGTCTCCACACAGAGCAGTGTTCTCCACAAGAGGAGAGGCTAACTGATTCTACTGTGAGCAAGCATGAGGATGATCTTACCCCTCTCCACAAGTGTCTCATGAGGCCACCTTCTGCCAGGCACTGCAGAACAGGGCGCTTAGGGTTCACTTGTTTATGGAAGCCCACAATAGTTCACTGCCAAGCATTGGGACTTTCCTAAAATGGCTCAGGTTATATCACTCCTGGATATCACAAGAGTTACAATGAATTTCTACTCAAAAATTCACATGACCTACAGAAGCACTCACTTGCAGAGTAAATCTGTTCCCTGAGTTTCAAATTACAAGAGTAACTGGTTTCTTCTTAGACATGTTCACTGTGTTGGGAAACTGGCTGAGACAGAGTCAAAATATCATCACAGAAAATGTATTTGTGTGACAGAAACAGATACAGAGGACAAACTAGAAGCTCTAAAGCCAACAGAAATCTCCAGTTACAGCCACTAGATGTGATGCAGAGAGCTTTAGCTGCAAGTCAAAAATACATTTAAGGGGCTGACGTTACACAGTGACACCTGGTCACCTCAGAACTGCAATCCTTGTGAAATAATAAAACAGGGCACAGAAAGCACACAAAGGAGAGAACTAAGAAAAGGGAATGGGAGGACAAGTGAAGAAAGAAAGCAGGAAGAAGAGGCAGGAGAGGGGAGAGAAGAGAAGAGGAAACACAATAGGAAGGGACCAATTTGGGACTCATTTTTTATTATGTGTCACCAAACCTGCCTGAGCTGCTGTCACTTCCATCCAGAAAGTCCTGAAGAGCACAGCAAACAGGAGCTCCAGTCCCCACCCTGGGCAGGGCCACACACCAGAATCCTGTGGCAGAGCTCGCTCTGCACAGACTCCTGGGGCCCTAAACTAAGCAGGCTCACAAGGGCTCTCTGTGAGTGAAGAAAACAGCAAAGAGACAGTAGAAATTACCCTTCCTGCAGCTGCTGTGAAGTGAAAAGAGGGCTCTATGTACACTGGGAAATAAGAAAATTACAAAAAAAAGAGACAAGATTTTCTTGAATGTAATGAGTGTAGACCAATATGGCAGAATATCTATATTTCAACAATGTCTGCTTCAAAAGGATTGGAAATTTTTAACCTTGAAAGTGGTAAATGAGGTGCCCAAATGCAATGTCTTGAGGAGGACAGCTCTATGCAAATTCCTCAAGAATGCTCACAGCTGCTATGTAAAGACCCATAGATCACAGTCAGCCATGCTAGGTGCTAGAACTCAAATAGACAAACTAAGTATCACTGAAAATATCAGACAGCAAAGGGCTCTTCCCATACTCCTGACTTGGAACTTATGAGCGGATAGTGAGGAAATAAATTATAAAACTGATATTCTTTAAGCAGTAAAGGAAACTAATGGAAAAATAAAGCATTAATGAGCTGTATAAAATTGACATCCCAATACATTTTATAGACACTGTAAAATCACTCAAATCAGCTTATAATCAAGCCAAAAACATTCAGAACTCAATGTGTGGTTTATTAATTGATTTAATCAGGGTAACATTAGCTTTAATTTTGCTTTCAGAAGATTATTGCTATAATTATATTCTTAATTATTCAATATTAAAATTAATTCTTAAAATCTGATATGTCTCACCTAAGATGCCGGTTCTCTTCCATACAACACCTCCAAACTGCATGTGAGTAATAGAGCTTCTTTATTTCCAAGGACAAGAATACAAAAGCTGACACAATGCGTGTACAAGTCTGATGCTAACAATTCGTGGCCTCCTTCCCATGTGTGTTAAGCTTTAGAACTTTGTCATGTGACTGCTCCAATGAGCTGAAAGTTATTTTATTTCATTTCATTTACTACTGATCCTGGTGAGACAGATGAGCAATAGGGGCTTAATAGTCCAGACAGGTCAAAAAATTAATATTTCACCTTCTCAGACTCTTTGGAAAGAGCCCACACATTCAGAAGTTAAACCCACCCACAGTGAGGCTGAGGCAGGAGGATGCGCAGGTGGAGCTGAAACTGGGCAGCTGAACAACACAGTGAGAACCAGTCACACAATCAGAGAAATACAAAGGACTGGAAATGTAGCTCAGAGTGCATCTCCTAGATTTAAGCCCCAACACACACACACACACACACACACACACACACACACACACACAGAAAGAGAGAGAGAGAGAGAAAGAGAGAGAGAGAGAGAGAGAGAGAGAGAGAGAGAGAGAGAGAGAGAGAAAGAGAGAGACAAGAGACAGAGACAGAGAAGCACATTCACAGGGTGTCTTATTACAATAAAATTGTTCAAGAAAACATTTATCTCATCAGTGGCTTCATTTTCCAGGGCTGCCATCCACTGTGTCTCAAAAGTGCTGGTCAGAGCTGCCAGAAGCCCCCAGTGCTGGAAAGAAGTTTCCTGTGTCGTTTCCAGTCCAAAATTTTATTATCATTTTCTATGACAGCTCAAGTATTCAACTAATCTAGTAGGCACTGTGCATTCAGTTTGCAGTAGAATAAATAAAAGTGTTCTGTTATGTGTCCTTTAATGACAAAAAAATAGAAGGATATTTATATTTTAATTTTCGGAGTCTGCATGTGAGAAGAAGTCACGGTTAGATGATCTTTCTAGATATTGAAAAGTTTATTTTTTATCTGCTTAAATTAAATTATTAATAATAAATGACAGCAATGAAATTTATGCTCATTTTGGCAGTAGCAAATCCAAGTTACAAATTAAAGAAAGATGTAGAGAAAATAAAGACTTGAGAAGACTAATACTGGACAGACTTACTCATGCTTTATATTTTTGGAGATCTATGTAAGGACTTTCCTTAAACCACAAATTATTTTTCCCTTTTACATTACAGTATGTGAATAGTTATCAGTGAAACCTGAATTTGGTTAGGTGTTTAATATTTTTTTAACTTAAAAAAAGGAACTATTCAATGCCAAATAAATGGGCAGATTAAACAGATTCAGTGGAAAAATTTAAATACATTTTTGGTTGCTAATACCAGGATTGTGTTGTTGGTAAAGTTCTGACATGAGAACTTCATTTGATATTTGTGTTGGACATATATAATACAAATGTGAATTATACACACTTTCCCAATCTTTACATTGAGAATTCATTTTGTGCATTTACTTTCTTTGTTATATTTTACTTACAAAAGCTATTGTAAAAATTTTTGGTCAAATACATTTTCACAACTGCTGAATGTAAAGTCTGAGAAGAAATTTTGCTCTCTGTGATTTCTATTATCTTTCATTCATATTTAAATTATATTTTTGTTTTGGTATGTAAGAAATCTTAGGAAAAAACAAGAGACCATATCATAGACAGTGAAGATCTGTTGTCTTTGAAATCTGTGTCTCTTACATTTTTGTTCTGATCTGTTTTGTTCTGTTTATTTATGTTTAATTTTACCATCTTTAAAATAAAATTTAAAGAAAAACATCTCTAGTTTCTGGGTCACTTAGCTTCAAAATAAATTGCAAGGGCTTTGAAGAATTTAGCAGGGTCTTTCCCTAGACTGTGGAAGTGTTTGCTTGGGCTTTTCATCTGTAAGGCTGTCTTACACTGATTTCAATGTGGACAAATCCTAAACTAGGCATTTGGGGAGAAAATACCCTTGGCAGTGCTGGTTTGCTTCCAGTAGTTTCCAGAGTGATTTTGGTTTTCTCTTTCAATTTCTCATCTTTTTTAGAGTCTTGTTTTAAGTTCCTAGTTGTAGGAATGTTGGGTTGCAGTTTCCCTTTGGTTAACAATTTTGAATCTCAGGCTAAATCAGGGTCCCACAAGATTCACAGAATGAATTCTCAACCTGTTGTCTTGCTGTGCACCCAAGCACAGGGGTGGAAACTGGATCTGAACTGTTTCCTGTGCTCCGCAGTGGCTTCACCACATAGGTGCCTTCGGATTTCAGAGATATTTTTCAAAGAGAGTAAAAGAGAGTAAAGAATAAAACAGCAAAAGAGTAAAAGAGGTCACCTAGAAGGTAGCATTCTTTTGTGTTTCCTTCTCTTTTCTTCATCCTCTTCCTCTCTGTACTCATTTTCTACCTGTTCCTTTTCCCCTCTCCTGTCTTTTTTGTTCCTGTTTTTCTAGGATGTATTAGTGTTTCACCAGAATTGTTACTGTAAAGTAGCTAATGTGCGATTTCTCAAACCTGAAACCATTTAAGCACATTTTTGGATTTAGAATTCAGTCCTTTCATGATGCCATCTAGTGATGTTGATGTATAAGAGTCTCTAAACTGCTCAAAAATTATAAAGCCACTAGTATTTTTGGGTTTTGGCAAGTGAAAGCCACTGGTCTCCCAAACATACATGCTGTTGTGATATTTTTGTCTGTTTGTACAGTCAGTGCTTTCACAGCCCAGTACCACTGCAAGTTGCTTCCTTTTTTAAAATTGGTTCCTTTGAATAGGTCTGTCCCAGCCCAGTACAGCTGCAATGATTCTATAAAAGAAGACTTTCCATTGAGGTTTGACCTGCTCTGCACCAGAAAGGACAGCAAGATGGTGATCCAGACCCCAATCCTCCTGGCTCTGTTGCTCTGGGTGTCTGGTGAGAAATTGCAAAGTTCCACCATCTCGTCAGTGTGATGTCTTCATAGCACTGAAAAATACCTTTAAGAAGTAGAAAAGAGTGACTATTTCTAATAAGAACACAAATATGTGCTAATTGAGAATAGCAATGCAAAGAATATTTCAATTTTTTAATTTCAAAATATATATGACAAAAATCTCATAGGTACAAGTATGTGTACTCACTTTCCTTTCCTGTTTACAGGTGTCTGCAGTGACATTGTGATGACCCAGTCTCCAGCCTCCCTGGCAGTGACTCCTGGAGAAAGCGCCACCATCCACTGCAAGTCCAGCCAGAGTCTTCTATATAGTGTTAACAACAAGAACTGCTTAGCCTGGTACCAGCAGAAACCAGGGAAATCTCCCAAACTGCTCATCTTTTTGGCATCCACCCGGGCATATGGCATCCCAGACCGGTTCACTGGCAGTGGGTCTGGCAGGGATTTCACCTTGACCATCAGCAGGGTGCAGGCTGAAGATGTGGCAGATTATTACTGTTTTCAGACTCTTAGTGCCTCTTCCCACAGTGATTCAGCCTCGAACATAAACTTCCTCTCAGGGTCTCCCAGCTGCTTGTTCTTTGAGCCGGTACAATACTTCTATCTTCGGCCTGAGAGACTGTGCCCTGGTCTAAATGTGAGTTATTTTCAGGTTTGTTGAACATAAGGGATCTCAGTGGATTTTTACACTTTTGTTATGGGAGTGCCATGTAGGAAATTTAATAAAGACCTCTGTATTAGTTTACTATTTCTTATGTATTAGTTTCTACAAGCTCAATGACTTTAATATAAGATATTAAGACATAAGGGATCTCAGTGGATTTTTACACTTTTGTTATGGGAGTGCCATGTAGGAAATTTAATAAATACCTCTGTATTAGTTTACTATTTCTTATGTATTAGTTTCTACAAGCTCAATGACTTTAATATAAGATATTCACCAGTTTAACTCCTTTGTCAATTTATCTATAAAGGAAATATTGAGTCAAATGGAAAGTCTAGTTCTAGTTTTTGAGAAGTCTATCTACTGATTTCCATTGTGGTCATATGTAACAATCTCACCAGCATTTATTTTTGGTAGATTTCTTGATAAATGCCATTCTTTCCGGAGTGAGATAAAATCTGAATGTTGTTTTAATTTGCATCTCTTCAATAACGAGTGACACTGAAGGTTTTTTCACACATATATTTTTTGTTTGAAAGTCTCCATCTAAGAAGTGTATTTATTTCAGATGCTCAGTTTTGATTGGGTCACAGGAATATATGCACCCCCATTTAAGTGGTACATGTTGTGATAGCTAAAGCTTAGAAACAGCTCATATACTCATTAGCAGATGTATAAATAGAGAAAATGTGCTTTCTATAGACACCAGGTAGAGTACTACTGTGCCATAAAGGAAGATAAACTTGAAAGATTTTTAGGTTAATGGGTGCATCTTTGGAACATAATTTTAAGTGAAATAAATTGGAAATAGATGTTTAAATATTGCATTGTTTCTCTTGTGTGAGAAACCAAAGTGCTCAATAAGGACCAACATGGAGGAGAGTTTTTAGGAAGTAGAAAATGTTCAAATTGGAAGATCAAGAAGAGAGAGAGCATAGGAATGAGAAACAAGGAATTAGGAATTAAAAAATATGAAAAGAATGGAAGGAAAGCAATAGCATCACAGCTCTGAAAGTGGAGAGGGGAAGAAGGACTGAAAGGAAGGAGAGGGAAACAAGGAAGAGCCTGTGTTACTATGTACAGGTGCAGTTTCCCTACAGTGCATTTGATCTTCATGTATGGAAAAAAATTCTGGTAAAAAACATTAAAAAGTGCATTTCATCATTTTACTGTTCAGACTAATGGGCTAAAACCTAGACGGTCTCAGGCTGTGTTTCCATTTGGAGCCTCACGCAGGGAATCCTTCCCTCGCCTTTCTTACTGCTTGAGGTTTCCCACATGCCTTGGCCAGTAGCCCTTTTCCTCTAAACGCAGAGCCAGCACTATTTCATCTCTATGACACTTCTTCCAGCATCACACCTCTCTCTGAAGTGTTTACATCTGGCTTCACACTCGTGATGAGTATAAGTCTGTGTTTATCTGAGTCTTCACTTTTCCTCATCTCACAGGGATAAATCAAATTAAGTTCCTGGTCCAGGGAAATTTTGAGTCTCTGTGGGAACAGTGTACTAAGTAATTGCAATTATATAGTCACTTTAAATACAAATTGGGGATCTACACTGGGCCATAGTAGGAATCAAGATTCTCATATTTTGCATATAATGTTCTGAGCCCTCAGAAGCTTCTGCTGTTCCATACTAAAGGATATATGAATCTGAAGCACCAGAGCCTTTACTAAGCAGCAGGTAGCAATGTGGATCAGGTGAGTTTCGGGTAAGTGGAAGTTGATCACATAGGGTCCCTGGAAACTCTCCAGGGGGCTTCCTTCATCTTACATCCTTATTATGATGTGAACACATAGCTGTGCCTTTACCAAACAATACAGAAACTGGCATCCAGATAGGTGGCTTGTTCCGCATGCAAATGCTGTCTTGTAAACCATTCTTAAATGAAACAAAAAACTTAAAACAATATGAAATGGAATTCTAAGCTTCTTGGCATCCAACCAAAATAGTACAATATATGAATTGCAAACATACAGGACAACTTTCAATTTGTAACTGTGACTAAAGATTTTCTGAGCATAAGCATTTGAGATAATAGCCCAAGGATTTAGCTCAGTGGCAAAAGTACCTGCCTGGCAGACACAAAATCATGAGATCAATGTCCAATATCAAAATAATAATAATAATAATAATAATATTTTTAATTTAACAGAAGTTGTTAAATTCTGTGTTTTCCTGACATCTTAAAATGTAATTTATAAAAAGTATAAAACAATTTATCTGCGTCATTCTTGCTTTTACAGCACTAGGTCCTTGTCCACGTGAGATAAGTGCTCTACATTCACTTTGGAGGATCTAGAATGGAATGTGTCTCTTTTCAGGTCCTAGATGTGTCCCAGGGTCTTTGTCCTTCATCTTCCCATGTAGTAACATCTCATCTCCTGTCCCCTCTTACAGAATCCATGGAGCCTCTCTTGTGCTTTCTAGGTGCCAACCTTGGTGATGGATCACTTTTTGTATTCCCCAGAATCTACTTTTGAGTCTTCTATTCTCAATTAATTATCAGAATTCTGTCAAAGAGGATGAGAAACTGTGCCCCAATGGAAAAAATGTGGTGTCTAATTCCATTCATACTTTGATTTTAAAACAAATGTAGGTATCTTCTGTATTCTGAAGCATAGAGACACAGCATAGAAGAGGAGTCTCATGGTCCACTTATAGTTAAGTACTCGAAATAATCTTAAAATGTCTCCCTAGGAAATGGTCTTTTCTTGTATTTCTTGGTGTACTGGTGTCTACCTGCACAAAACTCCTGTTGAGTGGTACCAGGTAAGAGCATCTCATGTGGGCAGTGCCATTCAAAGATAAAGTGGGACATGTCAAGATGATACTTTACCTACCAAGGAGGTACCTACAGAATTAGAATAATAGGAACAACTGATGTAAGCCAGAAATCGTGGAACCTGTAATCCTAGCACTAGGAAGGCAGTGACAAGGGGATTATTACAACTGCGAGGCCAGCCTGGTCTACAAAGTGAGTTCAAGGGCTGCTTGAAATACATTGTTAGATCCTATCTCAAAAAGACAAAAGCAAAACAAAACAAGATAAAACATGAAGCACATTTGAAAAAAAAACAGCACAGATATTTAAATAATTTGAGCTGTGCACATTAAAGGAAGCACATATGTGAGCATCTGAACCATTTAGAGCTTTTGAGCACATTGCAGACAGCAGGATGGCTCAAGTCTTTCTGTGGTGAGTGAATGTAGACTGACTACACAGAGCACCCGGGAATGTCTATTGGTGTTGCATCTGTTATGTAAGTTGGAAATGGTTGGGAATACATAGTGACACATGTGTTGAAACATATATATATATATAATATATATATATATATATATATATATATATATATATATATATATATAGAGAGAGAGAGAGAGAGAGAGAAGGAGAGAGAGAGAGAGAGAGAGAGAGAGAGAGGGAGAATGCATTGTTCAAACGTACAACTACTATCTCAATCACTCTTAGAAAATAAACTTATGTGGCATGCTCTACTACTGAGCTTCTCAGAAACCAATGAAAAGAAAGCAGTGTATTAAATTACAAATTTCTTTACTGGGGAAAAATTCCTGTCCTTATATCTGGCTAATAGTTTTCCTAGTACAAATGCTGAAGTTCATTTGTATCTTGTGGGAATACATGGGAGCTATCTCAGTATTGAGTTGAGTGATACTCTCAATTATAATTTTTAGGAAATTCTCAAAGAGGATTTATGTGATTCTTTCTTGAACACAAGGCAGCTTGAAGTGGTGATGCAGGAATATGGCTGGAGCCAAGGTTCACATTCTATTCAGAGGCACAAAGCATGGCTTCCTAGATGTAAGCCTTGACAATGTCACTGGAGTCGCTGACTCATGTTAGTCTTTTGTGTATGTTCTGGTGCTGTCTGAGAGTTAATTAGTCTTGTGAGGTCTGAGATTATCATTTGAAACCAGAAAACTTACCATCTTGTTAAGTGTAAATGGTGTCCTTGTGTCATCAGAAGTTTTCTCCCTTGTGGAGGAGGCGAGGAGAAGACGTCAGACCCAGGCTGAGATACTGAGCTCTTCATCTTAGCTATGCTGTGTAAGTCAGGAACTCATCCCCAGTGCCATGATTTTTCCATTTGAAGACAGGAATGACCCATCTCTCATGTGAAACAAAAAGTAATGATAAGAAATACATTTCTGCCCCCAAGCAAACAAGAAACATATCAAATCAACTCTCTTCTTAATGTATTCAGTGATTTCTTGTTGCCCTGATGCATTGCCATAGTCACAAGGCCTCATGGTTGCTTCCTGTCCTTGGTTGCTTTGTTTGGAACCTGTTGGAGAAATCTGAATACTCCTCCTGCCCACATATGTTTCACAGATTCTCATTATTTATGAAGATAGGAATGTTTTTTTTTTTTTTTTTTCTGGTTTGATTGTCTATGTTTAAGACTGACCCCAGGACATCTGCATGCTAGTGAAGTACTCTGCCACTGAGCTATACCTGCATCCTTGGAATTGGGATTTTCCTGATTTTGCAAAGAGATGTAGTTGACCTACCCTGCCTGCTTTCTACTGTCTAACTATGTCTCTTACCAGAACTCCTTGTCTTCCTGGAGTCTGCTTCCTGGGCCGGAATTTTGACCCACAAATTGCTGAATTCTGCTGCTCCTCATGACCTCATCACATCTCCCTTACCTGCCAGGCACCATCACCTTGCTAATCAGGCTTGAGTACATTGTGCCTCTGGCTCTGATGAGAACCTTGAGACTTTTTCACTGGTGTATGGAAGTGGAGAACTTTAATCATGAGGGTCAAGATCAGTAGCTGGGTTGAGTACAAGATTATAAGTGGGTATTTTAAGATCATTAGAACTCAAGACACTAGAGTTTCTGTAACGTGGAGAACAGCTTGGGTGTTGTACTTGGCTGCACAAAAGTGTGAGTGTAAGACTGGATTCCAATCACTAAAAAAGCACAGACCCACAGTCGGACAATGGAAATGATGTTGCACAAAAATGTTCTATCTGAGCCTATTTTCAATATAAAGAATGAAAATAGGGGACAGATTGAATGTCTAGAGCTTGCTGAGATCTCTTTGGCAGTTCTGCAATTCTTGAACTAGAATACAGTGTGGTAAACAAAATATTACAATAAATATGTGCTTTTAAAGAGAATAGGTAGGCTCTAGGAACTTGCAG